TTTTTTAAAAATTTTTTTTTAAAATTTTTTTTTTTTTTACCTTGCTGGGCTTGTTTTCCTAAGCAGGGTTTGCTGTTTGTTGGGTGGTGATTTGGCATCTTCGTTGGCCACCAGCTATCTAATAGAGAGGAGTTAAAGCCAGGTCATTGTAAAGAAATAGATCAAAAAAATAAGCTTCAGTGTTTCACCATGAAAAGACGCTGTGTCAGCAAAGCCATGTTCTGAAATGGTTCAGTGGGAAAAAAAAAACCAAAACAACAGACCTCCAAAACCAGGAATTTTTAGTTACTGTGAGCGACTCAGACTTGTAAGTGCTCCTCACAGCGCTGGAATTAGTATATAACTCGTAAAATTTATATTCTTATAATAATGTGTTTATTAGTATGGATTAATATTAAAAAGCTGTTACACCACACGGAAGGCGGCGAGTGATTTTTAATCTCTCCGTTCACTTTCCTTGCAGCAGGCCAGAGCAAGTCTGGATCGGCACGAAGCGCGGCGTGCAGGGTGGTTGTGCACGTGGACTTGGACTGCTTTTACGCGCAAGTAGAAATGATCCGTAATCCTGAATTAAGAGACAAGCCTTTAGGTACGAGTTACTTTGCTATATAATTGGGGATTATGTGTATTCAAGCAGAAGAAACTTAAGGACATGAATAAACCGAGGACATGCCTGTGCGGTGAGGTACAGGCTGCCACACCGGAGCTGTAACCACATCCAGAGTGAGCAGGGTGCAGTCTAGATGCTGCGAAGCTGTGACTGCAAGATTAATAAATCCTCTCGAGCACAAGTGCGGGCGCTTTGCCGATGTGTGTGAGCAGTTCTGGGGGTTCAAGCTGGTTTATAACGTGCGTGGGCACAGAGAGGGCTGATCTCCAGGGGTGAGCCCGAGTGTTTTGACACAGTCATGCTGAAAGCACACTTTATTCCATCCTGAACTCACGAATTAATGCCAGGCAGTCCGTAGTGTCTACCATCAGTGGAGAGAGCGTGTTGTAAAAGGACTGTTACGTAAAGAGCGCTTCCATGGGTAAGGGCCAAAATTAAAGAGTGACATTACAATGGGAAAAAATATCTATAAAATGTTCTTACTGTCCACTTGTCTAGATCAAGGAATCTGCCCTTCTCATAGTGTTGTAAAAAAATCAGTTGGTTTGCTTTTTCTGCAGTGTTGCATTCTGATCAAAGCGTATCCTTCGCAGTCTTTGCAGTGACATGAAAGCACTGTGGTCTTCTGTGAAGTAGCAAGAAACCTACACCTTAAGAAACATTTAACCTTTGTTTTCAGGTGTGCAGCAGAAATACCTCGTAGTTACCTGTAACTATGAAGCCAGAAAACTTGGAGTTAAGAAGCTGATGTCTGTGAAGTATGCTAAGGAGAAGTGTCCTCAGCTGATACTGGTTAACGGAGAAGATCTCACCCCATACAGAGAAATGTCGTACAAGGTTACAGGTACAAAATTAACAATTTTTCAGCAGAGGACAAATATTTCCTGTTAAACGCTGCGTGCATGTGCAGGCATGGGATGCAGACATGAAAACCTCCGAGTATTAGTGGTGTGCATGTCATCCTTGGGTATCTTTTCCTCCTAGAGTTGCTGGGGGAATTTTCTCCGCTGGTGGAAAGGCTTGGGTTTGATGAAAATTTTGTGGATATCACAGAGATTGTAGAGAAAAGACTAAAGCAGCTACAGCAAAGTGGATGTTCCCGAGTCTGTGTGGCTGGCCACGTGTACAACCACCAAGGTGAGTTAAACCTTCTTCCTGCTGG